AATATTGTAGAAACGTAATTTGCTGTAAAGTTGCTTTGCAACGATCGTGAAAAGTGCTATATAAATAAACTTGAATTGAAAAATAAACTTGAACAACAACTGACCGATCAGAGAAGTGTTTGTTGACAGTGTTGCGCAGGTCACATGACGTGTTTCCATGACAGCCAGAGGAGCAGGAGGTTGAAGTACAACTGGACTGACCAGGAGGACACAAACCCAGAGCTGAGAGACAGAGAGAGAGCCATAAACAACAACTGACCGATCAGAGGAGTGTGTGTGAGGGTGTGTGTTTGTACTCACTCTGTTGTTGTGTGCAGTTCTCTTCATCACTGCCATCTTTACAGTCATCTTCACCATCACAGCGGAAGGCGCTGGGAATACACTGCTTGTTCCTGCACTCCACTAAACCCTGGGACTTACACGCTACACACACACACACACACACACATTAATGTCCTGCAGAGTGAATAACCAGTGTTCTCTTCCACCCTCAATACCACGACTGAGGTGAGACTCTTGAGCAAAGCACCGAACCCCCAGCTGCTCCCCACTGCTCTGGGTATGTGTTCACTACTGTGTGTGTGCACTTGGATGGGCTAAATGCATGAGTGTGATGTGCAGCGGCTCACAGCAGTTCAGCTCGTCACTTTTGTCAAGGCAGTCGTGATCTCCATCACAGAGCCAGTCTCGAGGAATACAGCGTCCTTCTCCACAGCGATGCTCTTTAGTCGGGTCACACACTACAGCACAGTACAGAGGGCACATTATTTCTGAATTATGTCTCAAATTAAATGAAACACAAGCAGAAAGTCTTTATAGGTAAGCAGCAACTTTAGAGTTCAGAGTCAACTCTTCATCAGACCCAGTTGATCAGAGCAGCACAAAGCCCTCTTTACACACTCCAACAAGCCAACACGCGTGTTAACATGTTAACTCTGACAGCTCTAGAACTCACCACAGTTTTGCTCATCGCTCAGATCACCACAGTCATCGTAGCCATCGCACAGAAGATCAGAACTGATACAGCGACCGGTGGTACACAAATACTGACCATCCGCACAAGCTGGACAAACGACAGAGCGAGAGGATCACAGTGAATGAAAGAGAACGTGTGATTCTTCAATGTGTGAATGCAAATCACATACTGCACTCCCAGGAATCAGCAACTGCTTTACTGTGTGTGAGCACAGGTGCTTCTCAATACTCAAGCTTATGCTCCCTCATTTCCTCGCTCCTCGTCCTCCAGCCGTGACCCGGATATCGATCAAACTCAGCCATCATGAAGGACGTCTTGATTCTCTAATTGCATCGTGAGGAGGCGAGGATCGAGGAAGCTTTCAGAGGAGCTATGAGCGAGGAGGCAGTTTTTCTTGTTGAAAAACTGATAATGTACATATTCTTCTCCTTCATCTGTCACAGTCATTTTAATTTGTGATTGCAGTTTAAATAAATCATATTTTGAACAGGGCATCTTGTTTTATTAATATTTATTATGAATAACCAGTCCTCAGCAGCATAAGGGCAGATCCCTTGAGCGCAGCTGATGATGCTCTGAAGTGACGCTCGAGAAATCAAGAAATTTATTAAACAGAGTGGAAGTAAAAATGCCATTAATTTTTTCCCATAGGAAAATTGATTTTTAACAACTTACAACTTCTGTTAAAGGCATCTGTTCACATTATCTCAATATATGTTTTAAATAATAATTTTTAACAGCAGAATCCCTGGAGAAAAACTACCTTACTCATGATGCTGTAAAGAAAATTCCACCAATCAGGGAGTTGCAGTGAGCAAATCCTGCCAAAAAGCTCTCTTTAGCTCCCACACTCTCATGAAGCACCGCTAATGACATAATCAAGTCAGTCTCCCCATGCTCTCAAAATACTATGCATATTTTGCAATAAATGTGGCACGTTTTTCCTTCAAATCAAAGTTTGTAATGTTGTGATTCTCTTCACTGCTGGCTGATTTGGTCCATGGATTATAATACTTAAATGAAGACTTTTAAAATCCCTATGGGAAAAAATTAATGGAAAAATACTTCTGGAACCAGTGGTACTGAAAAAGTGGGCAGCACTGATGCACTCTACAGGTTTTCCATCAATTTCTCCATCCTCATTTTCTTTCCTTGCTTTCTTATCTCATATTTTATGGGGCTGGATCTGATGCACAACTAAGAAAATGAGAAGCACACACTTACTGCAGTCGGCCTCGTCGCTCCAGTCGTCGCAGTCGTTGTATCCATTGCACACTAGTTTCAGGGGGATGCATATTCCGGTCGCACACAGGAAGTGATCGCTTCTTCCACACGCAGCTTAAGACAAAATCACAAAAAGACAAGCGATCAGAGCATCACCATTCCAGACGTGATTCCAGTACTGGACGAGCACTCACAGAGCTTTCCTCTGGCGTGTCGCGGCGTGTAGCAGAGCGGCGTGTTTTCAGCATTCGTTCCCGTGTTGTTGGTGAACTGAGAGCAGCGCAGGAACTCCGGCCAGGACGCGTTAAACATCTGCAGCACAGGCTCACAGCCCTCACGAGCCGCTTCACAGAACGACTGACAGGGCAGAACCAGAGTCCTGCGACAGAACAAGACAGAACAAACTATAGAAACACTCCTACACTACTAGTGGTTAATGTTAACCCTCATGTTGTTCGGGTCATTTTGACCTGGAGAGGATTTTCTTTTCATATAGGCAAGGCAAGTTTATTTGTATAGCACATTTCATACACAATGGTAATTCAAAGTGCTTTACATAAAATAAAATAAAAACAATAATCACAAAAATAAAACAAGGAATTTAAAAACTTTGAAAAAATTGATTTAAGAGGTTTAAAATGAATTTAAGAAAACGATTATACATAAAATATGCACAGTGCTCATTCAACAAATGCACAGCTAAACAGATGAGTTTTGAGTCTGCATTTAAATGTGACTAATGTTTTAGCACATCTGATCTCTTCTGGAAGCTGGTTCCAGCTGCGGGCAGCATAATAACTAAAAGCGGATTCCACTTGTTTTGTGTGAACCCTTGGTATTTCTAACTGACTCGATCCTAATGATCTGAGTGGTCTGTTAGGTTTATATTCAGTGAGCATATCTGCTATATATTTAGGTCCTAGGCCATTGAGTGATTTATAAACGAGTAAAAGTACTTTAAAATCAATCCTAAATATAACTGGAAGCCAGTGTAAGGACCTGAGGACTGGTGTAATATGCTCAGATTTTCTGGTTCTAGTCAGAATTCTGGCAGCAGCGTTCTGGATGAGCTGCAGCTGTCTAATGGTCTTCTTGGGAAGGCCGGTGAGGAGACCATTACAATAGTCCACCCTGCTGGTGATAAAGGCATGAACAAGTTTCTCCAAGTCTTGACTGGAAACAAAACCTCTAATTCTTGCAATGTTTTTGAGATGATAGTATGCTGATTTAGTTACAGCTTTGACATGACTACTGAAACTAAGGTCTGTCTCCAGAATCACACCAAGATTCCTGACTTGATTTTTAGTTGTTAGACCCCTAGAGTCAAGGTATGCATTCACCTTGAGAACTTCATCTTTGTTTCCAAATGCAATGACTTCGTTTTTTTCTTTGTTTAACTGAAGAAAGTTCTCGCACATCCAACTGTTAATTTCATCAATGCATTGGCAGAGGGAGTCAATGGGGCTGTAGTCATTTGGAGATAAGGCTAGGTAAATCTGGGTATCATCTGCATAGCTGTGATAGGCGATTTGGTTCTTTCTCATTATTTGACTTAGTGGGAGCATATACAGGCTAAACAAGAGCGGTGCAAGAATTGAGCCTTGTGGGACTCCGCATGTCATGGACGTCCACTTAGACTTATGCTCTCCTATACTCACATAATAACCTCTCCCTTCTAAGTATGACCTGAACCATTTAATTACCATGCCAGAAAGCCCGACCAAGTTTTCCAGTCTCTCTAGTAGTATGTTATGATCGACAGTATCAAACGCAGCACTGAGATCTAGTAGTACCAGCACTGATATTTTGCCAGATTCAGAATTTAAGCGAATATCATTTATTATCTTAATGAGTGCTGTCTCTGTGCTGTGATGCGGTCGAAAACCAGATTGAAAATTGTCCAGGTATCCATTTGAGTTTAAGTATTTGTTCAGCTGATTAAAGACTACCTTTTCAATAATCTTTCCTATAAAAGGAAGATTTGATATTGGTCTATAGTTGCTCAATATGGTGTTATCAAGATTTCTCTTTTTCAGAAGGGGTTTAACAACTGCAGTTTTCAGGGAGTTTGGAAAAGTCCCAGAAAGAAGTGAGGCGTTCACCACTTCTAAGAGATCTGCTTCCAAACAGTTAAGCACCCTTTTGAAAAAATATGTGGGAAGTGTGTCAAGATAGCATGTTGACGATTTAAGGTGCTGTACTATTTCTTCCAAAATTTTGCTATCAATTTCTTCAAAAGCAGACATAGTATCTTCTTTTTGATATTGTGGTCGAATATGTCTAACCTCTGCATAACTTGGGGATGTGCTAATCGCCTTCCTGATATTATTGATCTTCTCAGAAAAGAAGGAAGCAAACTCATTGCATTTGCTGTCGGAGAGCATTTCACTGGCAATCTGATTTGGGGGGTTTGTCAGTCTCTCAACAGTAGCAAAAAGAGTGCGAGTGTTGTTTAAGTTACTGTTTATAAGGTTTGAGAAGAATGACTGTCTAGCTTTGCCTAGTTCCACATTGAAAGTACGAAGGCTGTCTTTATATATGCTATAGTGTATTTCAAGTTTCGTCTTCCGCCACATCCGCTCAGCTTTTCTGCATTGTCTTTTCATACTCTGAACTGCTGTTGATTTTCTCCAAGCTGATTTCTGTCTGCCAGTCTTCCTGCTGACTTTCAAAGGAGCAATGTCATCAATAACATTCTTAACTTTTGAGTTAAAGGAATCAAGGAGAAGTTCAACAGAGTCTGCAGAAATGCTTGGTGTTAAAGATATAGCCTCCATAAATAGCACACTAGTGTTTTCGTTAATGCATCTCTTTCTGACTGAGACCGATCTAGATTCAGTGGTAACAGAGATCAATATATCAAAGAAAATACAGAAGTGATCAGATAGTGCTACGTCCTTAATAACAATGGATGAAATGTTTAGACCTCTACTGATGAGTAAATCTAGAGTATGTCCCCGATTGTGTGTGGGTTCATGCACATGCTGAATCAGGTCAAAAGTATTTAAAACAGTTATCATTTCTTTTGTAGTTTTGTTTTCTGCATTATCTATGTGCATATTAAAATCCCCTGCAATAGCAAAACAGTCCAACTCTGAGGAAATCATTGATAGCATTTCTGTGAACTCTTCAACAAAGGCTGGAGATTATTTTGGAGGCCTGTAAATAATGATAAACAGAATGCGTGGAGCACCTTTCAACACAATCCCTAGATATTCAAAAGGCAAGTACTGGCCAAATGACACTTGCTTGCATTGATAGACATCTTTAAATAGAGCAGCTACACCTCCACCTCTCCTAACAGTCCTGCAAACACTCATGAAAGTGAAGTTAGGAGGGGCTGTTTCATTGAGGACCGTTGCACTGCAGCTGTCTTCTAGCCATGTTGCATTTAGAAACATAAAATCCAGGTTGTTTGTGGTTATTAAGTCATTGATTAGAAATTATTTATTTTTTAGTGAGCGAATGTTTAAAAATGCTAACTTGATGGCATTGCATTTTGTCTCAACAGCAATATTAGTTTGATGCATAAAAGGCCGCAGATTAGATAAGTCAGCCGTACGGCTTGAGAAGGCCTTAGACTTTCTATCATGTGATAAAACAGAAATAGAGAAAACTACTTAATCGTATAAAATGCTAGTTAATATTATCACATTGGAATAAAACTTACTGACAGGGTATAGCAACTTCCCCCAAAAAGTGGATAATTTTAGCACTTTTATTTTTGGATTTTTACCATTCAAAAATGAGCAGCCCTTTAAAAAAGTGCTTGCAGATCTCTCATTATGCTATATTATTACAGAGTATTGCATTTAGTCTTTTCATGAACTTGTGTTCTTTCAATCAGCACAGGTTTTGTTTTTCTTTTTGGGACTGATTGAGTGTCGGCTTCACTGATCTGAGGGCATGAATGATGAAGCATTGTTTAATGTGATAATATGTGTAATCCAACAGATTATATTACTAACTACAATTTCCATTATGAAATTTGTGATCACTAATGGACTACAATTTGTAAGTAATCTACCCGGCACTGACTGCTGCTCACTTTCATCATCTGTATTACTGCTCATTTATGCCAAAGCATCTGCTAAATGAGTGTGCATGTGAAGGGACAATGAGGTTGAGAAGTGTCTACATTGAAAACCTGGGATTTCTGTCTTTTAAACCTGTAAATAACATTTTTAAATTCAACTTCCATCAGTTTCAGGCTGAATATTGATGCTATAAATACAGTGAGATTCTAGAGGATTCTGTGCTTCTGACTTTCATGACAATGAGCATGTTTACATGCACATCAGTACGCTGATAACTAACAAAAATCAGTTGACTGAAATAACCTGATTTCACAAATGATGTGTTCTCATCCTTTGATAAAGGCCAAGCCACAGGTGCCATTTTCATCGATCTTTCAAAGGCCTTTGATATGGTCAATCATTACCTTCTTCTTGATAAATTGTCTTATATTGGTTTAACTAGAAATGCTCTTCTTTGGCGTTAGTATGTTGTATTCCAAGGTTTTCAGTCTGATTATTCGATTGTTGAAAAAGGAGTTCCTCAAGGTTCCACTCTGGGTCCGCTACTTTTTTCTATTTTTATTCATTATTCATCTCAAATATGCTTTAATTGTTCAGTACATCTTTATGCTGATGACACTGTTATTTATCCCAGTGATTCTGATTTTCCAGAATTCTTTACAATACAAACTGATTTTAACTCAAAAAGGGTTTCATAACAACATGCTTACACTGAATAAGAAGAAGTCTTGTTGTACGTTGTTTGGCATGTGACGGTGTCGTTCTTTTCCTTTTGATTTGAATATTACTTTTGATGATGGTTTACTTCTTGAGTCTGTTGATTCATTTAAATATCTTGGTCTTTGGATTGACCCTGAACTCTCTTTTAAGCCCCATATTGATTATATTAATAGAATATATGGTTGCTTGTATTTATATTTACTTTACCGTTCAATTAATTGTTTTACATGTCATGTTAGGAAAAGTATTGTTTCTCAGATAATATTACCTCTTATTGATTATGCTGATATTGTACATCAAAATACCTTTGATACTTATCTGAAGCCTCTTAATGTGGTTTATAATTCTTTGTGTAGATTTGTGTGAAGGTGTCCATATCGTACTCATCACTGCCATATGTACAAAATGCTTAATTGGTTACATTCTAAATCTAGAAGACAATTTAATTGGTTCTGTTTATTTTTAAATGTGTTTATTTTGATTGTCCTTGGTATTTGAAACAGTATTTGGTTCCATACAGATATTCTTATTCACTTAGACATGCGCAATTTCCTTTCTTTTTGTTCCCAGAATTTCTAGAGAAGCCGGGCGTAGGTCTTTTCAATATAAAGCTCCTTCTGATTGGAATAATCTTCCTCAGTCTTTGAGATCTGTTACTTCCTTTCATTGTTTTAGGCTATCTCTATTTTCTAATCTAAAAATAGTTTGTGTATGTTTCTAAGTTTTCTTATGTTGATTCTGCTTATGTATGATGTTGAGTATGAGTGGGGGACTGGTTGACTATGTCTTTTGTTTTTGTATATTTGTGTGTGTGCATGTTTTGTTTATGTTGTAATATTTAGTTTTTGTGTTTATAGGACCCCCTTGAAAATGAGATGTTACATCTCAAGGGGCTATCCTTTCAATAAATTCAAATATTGATTATCTGGTTTACATGCAAATCAACAACCTGGCAATGAAGCGCACTGAACACGAGACAGAGCGTGATGGGTGTCACAGACCTGCGGTCTCTGTGGCTGATGCATTGTGGGAGTGCGATGGAGCATCCGAACAGCATGATGTGTCTGTAGCAGGACAGTTGACTCAGGTAGCTGAAGAACTTGAGGAACATCTGCAGCTCGCTGCTCTTGACGACCATCGTCCCCGGCAACACTCCGCTCTGGTTGTACGGCAGCATGCTACACTGAATCTCCATGATGTCAGAGCAGAAACCTGTAAACAAACAAGAGAAATCTGATTAGCTGATGCGTTGAGCAAGAAGTGATTTCACTGGTCAGTTTAGCGGAGATGCGTTTTGAGTGATTTCACAATTCTTAATAAAATCCATGAGATTAAGATTCATGTTCACCACTAATGACATTCATGTAAAACAGTGAAACTGCTGATTATCTCAGTGATACACTCTGTGTGTGTGTGTGTGTGTGCGTCACGAGCGTTTCAGTACGAGTACTACACAAAACCGCGCGTCTGCGCCATTCATTAACACAGAGACACGCAGAGTTCATATTTAAATATGTATCGTTTTGCGGCTTAATATTTACAAATACTAGTGGGAGTGGGTGTGTGTGTGTGTGTGTGTGTGTGTGTGTCTGTGTGTGAGCACGCTCTATGAGACTCTGATTGTAATTGTGATTCTAGTGCTCAAGTCAAAGTCAGAAAGATGAGAGGAACAGCCTTCACACACACACACACACCTCAAGAAAGATGATTAATCATTAGGCTGTTTGGAGGAAACAGAGACAAATAAAAGCTCATGGCGCACCCTCTGTAGAGGGCATCACAAGAGGACACACTCACAGATGACTTTCAGGACAGAACCTTCACTGAGGACACTGAAACACACCGTCTCACACACAAATGGACAGAGAGAGAGAGACAGGAGAAAATCTGTGTCGAAATTAGATTAGCAGAGGACAAAAGCAGCGAGATGTTTGACATAAAAGGGCTAAAGAGAGAGAGAGAGACAGAAGCAAAAGGCAGATGATGAAATATGAAGCAAAGCATGACATTTAAAGGGATCGTTCACTTTCTTTCTTCAGATGAACACTTTTTTTTTTTAATAATCCATCTTTGTGAGTATGTTACACAAAACCCAATGTTGACGCTCCATAAAGCAACCAGCCACATGATGGCAATCCACACTCACTTCATTTGATACATTTCTTAGAAAACAACACTTCATATCTTCATTTTGCAGGTACAGGTAAATGTATCTTGACTTAATGAAGTTTCGATATTTGTTCCGGAAAACAAGACACAAATACTGAGATACATTTATTGACTTTATTAATTTTTAGACTTTCTGCTCTGATTTGACATCTTTTTAAGGCTTTAATCTGTGCAATGGTGAGTTAAGGCCTTTTAAGACCTGCAAAAACCCAGCATTTGAGACTTGCATTAAACAGACTCTCAGAGATGGATTATTTTTCTAAAAAATCATTGTGTTCATCTGAAGAAAGAAAGTCATATACATCTGGGATGATGAGAGAATATTTGGTCATTTTTGGAAGGACTATGGTTTAAAGCCACACATGCATCATCTTCAGGACTGTACCAGCGTCTGCGCTCATGCTCGTCACCGTGGAGACAGAGGTCCACCAGTCCACAGGGGCCGCGGCAGTGGGGCCCGCCGATGAAGACGAGGATGAGGATGAAGAGGTGTCTGAACGAGGCATCCAGTGTGCCGAGTCCCACTGTGGAGGGGTGTTTGTCAGGACGACCCGCGGCGTGCCGGACTGCGGTGACACCGTTCTGTTATCGGCCATCATCGGGCCGGGGTCGGTGCTGTTAAAGGGCCCGTCGGTCACTATGGACACAGAAGATCCAGCATCCAGCAGGCCATTCCCAAATAAACCTGGACAAAGATGGAAAACCAGAGTCGATGAACCAGAGTTCAACAGGAACAGTGAGGATTTTTAAACACACACACACACACGCACACACACACTCTGCTGAAACACACAGTGTGTCTAGTAACGCATCCAGACTCTTCTGTAAGACACGTGTGATCTGAACGGCCCCTGATCAGCATTGATGGCTCGATGAAGAACCTTTAACTTCCATTGTATCTTTCCATTGCACAAAAGGTTATTTTCTTTATAGTGGAAAAAAGGTTTTTCAGATGATTAAATGTTCTTCACACTAAGAAAAAAATGGTTAAGAACCAATTGCTGAAAGGTTCTTTGGTGAACCAAAAACGGTTCTTCTGTGGCATCACTGTGAAAACCCCTTTTTGGAAGCTTTATTTTTAAGAGAGTATTATTTTGCTCTGATCTGACGCAGTGATGTGACCGATTCCTTCACAAAGGAAATTTCAGCCGACACAAATGCACCATAATAAACAAACTATAATCATTTCGACAAATTAGGCCAGATCGTTTCCATGCCAGCAGTGAACTAGACCCTCGTCTGGAAAGATTTCACAGCAAGCAAGCATGAGAATCACCACCACAAACAGACATGTTTGTTTGTAAAAGGGATCTTTAACCCAAAAATTAAATTGTGTCCATTGTGTCCAATTTACTCCATTCATCTTGTTCGAACATGACTTTCTTTCTTCTGTGAAACAAAAAAGGTGTTTTGAAGAACACTGGCAACCAAACAACATTGGACCCCAATATGGACAAAAAAAGAGACATTTAGAGACAGGAGACATTTATCAAAATATCTTCTTTTGTATTCCACGGAATGTAAGTCAGTCACACAGGTTTGAGCAACATGAGGGTGAGTAAAGGATCCTTTTTGGGTGAACGATGCCTTTAATTGTTAATAGGACAGAACACTGGAACGCAGTCAGACGAGAGAGGAACAGAGGACGACCGCCAGAGGGAAATCTGTATAGAATCATAACACGGCAGAGACAGAGCCTCAAGGTCAGATCTCATGAGTCTAGATAGCATCATCACTAACCTCTCAGGGTTCAGTTCTCCTCCATAAAACAGCACCGCTGCTGCGCCGACAACATGCAGCGCTCAGCCCGGATCAGTCCAGAGGAGACCCGAGCTCCCGCTCATCCGCCACTGCTCTAGAACAGACCCTGTTACACCGATCACACCTGCTGTTTTAATCCGTCTCTTCTGTCCACTTTCCTGACTTCTCTGAGGGGAGGGATTATGGGCTTTTTCTGATCTTTCGATCTAATATTGCGAAATAGGCTTGAGCAATTTACATAAGAACGTGAAAAGAGGCAACAGAAAATGATACCGAGAGCAGCAGCTTTCGTTTCTGCTCTGATAGCCACAAAACTAAGCCGAACGCTGTGGATTTGTGTTAGAATCAGGAATGATAATTGTGCTTTTTACATTTTTTTTGCCTTCAGACCAAGCTTACTGTTTCAGCTGGCAAAGTTTAAACTAGGGATGCACGATATATCGGCCACCATATCGGTATCGGCCCATATCGGCTCATTTTTTCTGTTATCGGTATCGGCCTGATAAGAAAATTTGGCCGATATCTTAAAGCCGATAAATAATGCATTATTTCCTTCAGAGACACTTCAGATGCGCGCTGTTCGTTTGCAGCCTTTTGTGCAATTGTACATTGTAATATTGTGTTTATTTGATGTATATCTGATTTATCTCATATAGAATGCGTTTGGTTAAGTTAAAAGAGCACTTCAGTTTACCGGTGATCATCTTTAGCTCAGCACACGCAGCCCAAACAGCAGTGCACAACATTAATAACTATGATTGGGAATGTCATGTATATAACATTCTAATGAGAACATTATTATAATAAAACGTTGTGAATTCTTTGGGTTTAGTTGCCGTGTTTCAGCGCGTTGTTATGGGAAGAGCGCATCCACAACAGGATCACACATTCTGACTATAGCACGCAATAACTGCATCATTTTGTACATATACAAGTTGTAATATTATGTTTATGTTGTATTAATATTAATCTCAGGATGCATTTCCTTGAGTTAAATAAGCTGCCAGCAAAACGCTTCAGTTTACCATGTTCATTCAGCTCTTCAGCTTCAGCACGCGCAGCTCAACGGCTGCTATTTAAAACAGTGGTATTAATTTGTTACTTTTTCAAAATCATTGATATATTATTAATAACAACAACCACTTGTATTGTTCTCTTATTATTTTCATCAACAATATGGTTTAGTAATTAAAATCATTTAATTATTGTCCGTGCAGAGGCTATTCCGTTTTATTGATCTATGGCGCATTCATTTTGATTCTTTACACGTGTAATGATGTCCAGTGACTTGTTTGCATTATTTATGCATAATTTTATTTATTTGTAAGACTTTTTTATGACTAAATTTGGTAATGGGAGAGTAAAAATATTTTTAAAACGTACACCGTTCAAACTAGGCTGCTTATGTTGAAGTGTTTGGGATGTGGCTTTTAATGATGAGACCTTTTTTGTAATCAGGCTCTCAAAAAGTATATAACAATTTGGATATAGATTTATCGGCCAACATATCGGTTATCGGCTTTCAAAAATAAAGAATAATCGGTTATCGGTATCGGCCAAAATTTTCATATCGGTGCATCCCTAGTTTAAACCCATCTGGATAACACGCTCCAACAACACGTCCTGTAATGTTTATATCAGCAGGCAGAGAGGAACCGGTCTTTAAGCAATGCGTTTTCCAAAGTGGACAAGCGTAAACCATTTCAGATCCCATCACCTGTATATAGCGTTGTGATCAGATCGACAAAAATGCATTTTAATACCAGGTTCCTGCAGAGTTCAGCTCAAACACCAAACCAACACACCTGATGCAACTGGTGAGTGAGTTATACATTCACAAACCTCAAGAAGATCAACCCTGACATGAGGCGCCTCACACAAGACCCGTCTAACCCCTGAGTCTGTGGAGCAGACGGAAAGCAGCAGAAGTGAATGACAGCGCTGAAGAAAAGCGCAGGAACTGCTGCAAACATCACCTGCGCTCATCATACGGCCTCGCTGTGAAACACACATCTGCTCTGAGTCTGCATCTCTGAGATGCTGGCCAGTGTTTCTATTGAAACAGCACGTCTCATGTCTCCTTAATATGAATCAGCCGTGCTGTTTTAGAGACAGAGACAGAGACAGAGAGAGAGAGCGAGAGAGAGCCACTGTGACGGTGCAAAAACAGGCTCGGGGACACAGCAGGACGTCTGGACTGGATGGGTGTCTCAGATTCACAGCTCTGATCACGTCCCACCAAAGAGACTTTCTGACCAATAAACAAAGAGACAGAGACAGAGACAGAGAGGACAAGGGCAGGATAATGGTGGGAGGAGATGTCATCAGTGTGCACGTCTGTCCAGACAGTGACCTTTGTGTGTGTGCGACCTTCAGATGCTTTCTTTGAGCTTTTATGAGGAGCAAACAGACAGAGAGGAGGAGACACACACACATACACACACAGAGACACACACACACACACAGACACACAGACACACACACACACACACTAACACACAGACACAGACACAGACACACACACACACAGACACACAGACACACACACACACACACTA